CAATCAATTGCAATCGATCGATAAAACACTAATGAAAACGTCATAGATCAGCAACAATAACGAATAAACAAAATATTGTTGTTGTTATTAACGTACGCTGAAATGCCACAACGAATCTTATCGAATTACGAATGGTCTTATCGAATAGTAATAAGTATTAATCTCGCCGAATTATGAATCTTATCTTATCAATCTCCTTAATAACTCTCCACTCATTTCCACAAATTACTACCAACCGCAATAAATTATCTTCGACCAAACAAAATGAACAAATAACGTTTGCGCAAATGAAATGACCATCACAAGTCATCAACAAGCATTCAAAAAAAAGGGAGTTTAGTGAATCAGAAACGAGACATCATCCAAAAAAAAGTTATCAATAAAGTCTGGCAGATTGTGGTTGAAGAACCGAAGCGATGCCTTGCGGTTGTGGTTGGGTGTATTGCGCTGATACGATTGGTTGTTGCTGATGGGTCATCAGAGGTGCGGTTGATGCATTCGACAGCATGTAGGTTTGAGGTTGGGGTTGGGGCTGAGGTTGCATTTGCAGCTGGGGTTGGGGCTGTAGCTGTTGTGTGGTCGAATAGATACCACCAGCCGTGACAGCACTCGCCATCGACGTGTTCGCGTAGAAATGCGCTGCACCTCCAGTCGAATATGGCACTGCTGCAGTCGGCGTTCTGAATTTAAATGCTCTTCGTTAGTAGAATACTAAATGGCTGAGTTAATGGCAGTTATCAATCATGAAACTAACTGTTGTGCATACGGTTGTTGTGGTTGTTGAACAAGAGTGGCAGCACCGTACAAGGCGGTATTGTAAGGTGCCTGTAAAGGAGCCGGTTGCATGGCGCCTGCATTGATAGGTGCATGCATTGCATGTGCACGTGCTTTCATCTCTTTCGAGAGTCGTTCTCGGAAATAGAAATACTTCGTTCGAGATTCCATATACTGTTCGTAGAGTGGTATCAAATCACTGCAATACACATAAATGCACCCACCCTTAATCGAACCATATAATATAATCGCTCAGTAACGGAAACCTACCTGTCAATAGGTCTCGCGAGTTCAGGATCAGAATCAGCGGCAGAGAGCGCAACAGAAGCGAGTTGTTGAGGTGCTACGGATTGTTGCTGTGGTGGTGCCGTCTGAGTTGCTGTTTGGTAGCCATTATAAGCTGCACTCGTTGGCATCTGAGTCTGCGTGCCCGGAATCGGTCGTCCAGTCAGATTTATCGTTATCGTAGGTGTGCCGCTTCCACTGAATTCATCACAATTCTTACCAATCCACTAATCAAAAAACAACCAATCCTGCAGAACTTACGTTGGATCGGCAGCGAATCGCTTCTCTCCGCCACCTCCGATCGTCGTGATTGGCTGTCCACCACTCGCACTCGTGCCACGTTTCAGATTGCCTTGATTCGACGGGTCACTTGGACATTGTACCGTCTTATGATCGGCCGCACCACACCGATAACACCGTTTGTCCATTCCTGGTTCACGTCGCAGTTTCGAGGTCGACCTTCAGCATCAAACAATTTAACAATTGACTGACGTGAATATTCTTTCAATGAAGCAATAACTGGACCAAAATAACAACCTTCTGATGTTGATTGGTTTATTTTCCAAAATATATCCATCGAGCTTCTCGATCGCAATTCGTGCAGAATCTTCATCGACAACATGCTGAAAATACTCCACGAAAAGATGAGCGATCATCTGATATCAAGCATCAGCATCAGCAGCATCAGTAGCAGCAGCCAAGCCAATTCCATCGCCACTATCAAGCAATGAACAAACAATCTCGATGTTCATCGATAACTCGTCATCACAAATGCACTTTTACCATGCGAATCGNTTTTACCATGCGAATCGTTTCATTTCGTTCACGAATTCAACTTACTCGATCGCTCATTGCTTCACGTCTTATTTATCACTAGTTTATCACTCCCCCGGTAACATACCAACCAACTAATACGCAAATTTCATAACTGACCACCGCGTATTTATAACGTTCGATTGAGTATTCAATACATTCACTTAACATATATGCGGCACTCCTTTCGGCTTCAAGTGCACACCACTTTCAGTGAATGCACTCTTATGGTGCTCATCACCATTTTCAGAAAGCATATGAATAAAAAAGGTATTATCGACAACGACGACCAGCGAGCGATATATTACGCATACGAAATCAGAACGCCCACGGACCCAGTTCAATCCCGACTTGAAGAAAACAAAAACGGATGAGATGTTATGGATATGATATTAACGTAATAATTAGCGTTGTTCACTTGTGCGTTCGAAACAACAACGACGACGACTCTCGATTAATCGAGAAACAGCGACACTTATTGATGTAAATAAGAGTGTATCGAACAGCAAACAAACAGCACTACAGCTGCTGTATCAGTAGGGTCATGATTCTCAACACTCGATTTCTCGTCGTCGCAACAATTCAACTGCTCGATCAGCATTGCAAACAA